CAGATTTATTACATTAAACAATCAATAAATGTATGCTTATTTATAATTTTTGTAGTTGCTATAACGAATTCAACATTGTTATCTTCCTGCTGCGAAAGAAATCTGAGCGCTGCTATTTCCGCAAATGTACAACCACCTATGAAAAATATCATAATGACGCGAGGAATGTTGAGAGCTGAACCTTCGATTGGAGTAGAGGAATTGTGACGACCTCCAATACATATTAACTGTGCTTGAAAGTCTTCAAATGTTGGTCCTGGCAAATTATTTATTTGACTTTTCAATGATTGCCACCCTAACGGTTTTATAGTCTGTTCGATAATACGAGCAGTGAGAGGTGCATAAAAGCTGTGTACATAACTTATATCTTTTGGCTCCACTTCCACAACGTCATCTACTGTTAAATTAAGAGTCTGAAAGAAGGCGATGGTGTATTACATTTTCCAAATTTTGATTTGATTAAAATTTACCTTGCGCAGCACTGCGTAAGAGCGTGATTCCGACTGAGTGTAAAGAAGACCAGCCTTTTCCAGATTGCTTATTTTCAGCAGAACATGAAGACCATATACCTGAACCAACTCGCGTTTGTAATAATTTAAAACCTAAATGAAGAATTTGAATTTATTTTGTAACAACGGTTTTTCTTACTTATTCAATATTGACCTTCTCTTTGAACCCCGAGGCGGCCGCGCATTGCATAGACAACAGACGCAAAACTCTCCGGATGTCTGCTTTTTTTGCAATTAAGCCTTCAATATAGGCACTGGCTTTATCTATGTCTTCGCACATCATAAACTCTTGCTCGGCCGCAAGATCGTCAGAAAAATCGAACGCATCTAGTTCTTTTCGGATTAATTCAGCTATCGAAGTATGCACTGCCACAGACTGTTTTTGTGCCAACAAAGCCGGCAATTTGTCTACAAAGCGTTTCATATCTTGTACAGATGCATCTTGCGCATTTGTATTCATTTGGGAACTAATTTCACGCGCATTCCGAGAAAGAATTTTGCCAACTTCATTAAAGTTTTTATTTCTTAATTCGGCGTATAACTTTTCTCCTGAATTCAAAAAGATAGTCTTTTTTCCGGATACAAGTTGAGGCTGTGCTGGGCTTTGTTCTTCTGCGCGTGAGGCAAAGTGTTCAGCAGGTAATGAAAGTTGGTTATTTTTAATTCCGAAAAATTCATCGATTAATCCTTCATATGTTAGTTGAGTAGCTAAACCACTAAGAATATCAATGGAGCGATCCAGAAGTATAATTTGATCTATTAGCCCTTTATCGCCATTCCAAATCTTTTCCTCCGCGCCTAATTGTTTTGCATGCTCCCAAACCCTTTGCGAATTGGCGCCTTTCCCATAAATCTTTGGTATACGTCCATAGAGACGTTGTAATTGTACCAAGCCTACAGCTGCCTGATACAAGACTGTCGGATCACCATCTACTTCAACATCGCGGAAAGCGAAAGACATTTCCATTGAAACAATGTCATTGTCTACGGGCAGGAAATTCCACTCCAATTCTTTTATTTGGGTAAAATTATCATAAACTTTTAAATTCTCCAAGTGTTTGATACACAAGCAGGACCTTCTTGGTACAAAATAAATGTGAAATTGCCGATTTTTATCTAGATTTTTTTTTACATGATCGGCTAATATGTCCATTAGGCAGAGTTGTGATCTAACGACGTATATTACATTACAGGCATCGCGCGGTAGCTGTGTTTCAACACCGAATTTTAGTAATTTAACACTCCGTTCAGAAAACAGGTTTGGTGAGGCCACCAAACCAAGAGGGCCCAGTATTTCTTCATCCAATAACAGCAATTTGGGACCATCAATGAGCTCCAAGAGATTAACAATCTCATTACAAGCGGATTCTTGAAGTAACTGAATATTTACACGCTGACTCTGCAAATATTGAAACATTTGATCGCAATAAAGATAGTATATAGTAACAATTATCCCGCTGAAGGTAAAAATAAAAGGCGTTCTGTTGTTTTTAGGGATGAATCGATACAGTACATCCAAGTACATACTCGATACTTTTCTCAATTTACCAAGTACTTTTGTACTCGATACTTTTTACAACGATTCCCATTATCGAAGAAAATGTACTTGTATCAGAAGCGCAAAACTTACAGCACGTGTACAAAGCTGTCAAGACAATAAAGAAATACGTATTAGTTGTCAAAAACGCAATGTATGGAAATGTATGAATTTATTAGGGGTCTTCATATAAAGTGATAAAGGGATAAGGTAATTCTCTAGGGTGGGGTAATAACCCCTAAAACAGGTGCGGAAAAGTCGGGAGGGGTTCCAAACGACGCGTTTCGGCCCCCCTAATAACAATCCGGAGGGGGAGATAATATTATTAACCATTTAAAAGTTATGAACAAAAAACTTTTGTTAAATTTCGTTGTTTTCTATGAGCAAATGCACTAAATCACCAGTTTCCACTTTTAAAACACTACTAAAACGTTTCCGGTTATTTTTTATGCAAACCAAATCATTTATTCACTTTTATTTTATATATTTCGTTAATAAAAAATTATTATAACCTCAAATCGTGGGTATTGCCACTTTATTTCACATTTCTTTGCGCTATTATACTCAGTTTACACTATACACTTCTTCTTCTTCTTTTTACTTTCATCTAAAGATATTGTAACCAAAATATAATAGCAAATTTCGCTTTACCATCGCGCGATTTTTTATAAAAAATTTTCATTATTTATCGAAGTATTGATTTTTATGCAAATTAAAAAATTTTCATTATTTATCGAAGTATTGATTTTTATGGAAAAAGCCCCGCAAGCGAAAATTTGTAATAAAAAATCGCGCGATTTTTTATTAAAAATTTTCATTATTTATCGAAATATTGATTTTTATGGAAAAAGCGCCGCAGACGAAAATTTTTAATAAAAAATCGCGCGATTTTTTATTAAAAATTTTCATTATTTATATATATATTAAACGAAAGAAGATACCGAAAAGCATTGAACAGTGCACACATCTCATAAGGAAAAGTGAATTATTACGAAATACTAATACAGTGGCAGCACTATAGCTATTTTGGAATCTCGCGTTTCAGCTCGCAAAGATTGTCAACTTCTTTTTAATAACAAAATAATCTATCTTAGGTTGATAAAACTATGTGTTTCTTTAATAAATAAGTTAAATTATATATTTTAATAGTGTTGAAAAAGTGAGAACAGGTGATTTAGTGAATCTTTGTCGGTGTAATTGCCCATAGAAAACAACGAAATTTAACAAAAGTTTTTTATTCATAACTTTTAAATGGTTAATAATATTATCCCCCTCCCCCCTCCGGATTGTTATTAGGGGGGCCGAAACGCTTCGTTTGGTACCCCTCCCGACTTTTCCGCACCTTTTTTAGTGGTTGTTACCCCACCCTAGGGAATTATCAGGGATAAATTGCTTTAATTTATCAGTTTATCCGCTTTCTTTCATGACGTACCTTGGTAAACAATTGCACAAAATTGTTTATTATTCAACTTATTTGGCTAGTTACGTTTCATTCATACCTCGTCCGTTGTGCAAATTTTCTTTTTTTGTGTTCGTAACAAAATCTACCACCTGGCAACTTGTCAGAGTAGAATTTTGCTGAAATTTATGCGTTTATCCACCAAAATCGTTTGATAAAGTGATAAACATTGGTTAAATAGATTTCCATACAAAGTTTGACAGTTCATTTATCAAAATGATAAACTTATTACTTTATCAAGTTTATCAAAAGTTTATCACCTTTGATGAAGACCCCTATTAGTTGAAAAAGTGTGCATGTATTGCTTTTGTTATGACAGTATTGTCTGGTGCAAACCCTAACTAACTTAGGGTTTACACCAGACAGTATTGTCAAGACAATTATGTCAAAATGATATGTTTGTTGTAAACACGGCGAATTCATATTACAACAAAACACATCATTTTGACATAATTGTCTTGACAATATTGTCCGGTGTAAACCCTAAGTATGTTATTATGCTTCAGTTCTTCTTTGAAAAGCAACTCATTAGAGGAATGGGAAGATATGCGGACTACATTTCCGCAGCTATATAAGCAAGCCCGTCTATACATAAGTTGTTGGGTCATCTGTCCTTTGGGAGAGGCTTTTCTCAAAAACAGGTATAACTACATCAAAGTTTCGAAACCACTTATTAGGAAAACACTAGGAAAAGTTAATGTTTTTGCGAAATACAACAAAAAGGAATTATTTTCTTAAACTTATTTTATATGAAAAAACTACATCGTCGATGTTTTTGCAAAACCGCCCATCGACCAGTTGCAAAAATGAGATTTGGTAACCCTGAAATCCAGGCATCGAGATTTATGCATACAAATTGTTAAATCGATACTAAAACAACAGATTTGTAAAATAATAGCTAGAGAAAAACCGCCTATCAAGGCAATGCCTTCAAAGAATAAACCGTTTTTTCGCTCTACTGTAAAATTTGAGTGCCGTAAGATAGGCGGTTTTGCAATTGGGCGATGGGCGGTTCTACAAAAACATCGACGATATCTATTAATCTTGTCAAAACATATTCTATTGTTTTTGAAATCAAATACTATACAAAATAATTGTTGTCTTAAATTTTTTTATGACAAAATATTAATAAATAAATAATGCTGTAAAAACTCATATTTTTTGTGAAAAAAATAATACAATAATGTTGAAAAATATGCAAAATCGTAGTTATATGATCCCTGCAAAAATCGCGACTACTCCATGCATGCGTGTAAAGAGTTCTCCC